TTCATGGGAGAGAAGGGGACACTCAAGAGGGTCTCGTCTTGCTGTGATCTCCTCCTAGCCCTCCAGCTAGTTGGGGTCTTGGACACATATACCCCTGACGTGTTTCAGGTCGACTCAGGATCTGAACCCGTGGTCAGCCACGCGGCTTCCAGCACCACAAAGCCCAGCACCACAGATAAGTATGCGATCATCTTTGCTACTGAGGCTGGGCAGTCTCTCATGATTTTGAACAGGATTTATCACATCTATTTCTAGCGCTACGATAAAAATAAAGCAGCAGCTTGGCCTTCAGGTACTTCCTTTAGACTGACTTTCCACCCCTTTAGGTAATGTTCTTATCTCACTGGCCTCCGAGACAAAGTAAGAACCCTGGGGCTCTCATGTTACCCTCATTACTGAATCACTCACAATTTTTCACCCAGCAGACTTAAAACCTCTTCTTCCCTTTCCCCATCTCATGCTTTTCTTTCTTTCTTTCTCTCTCTCTCTCTCTTTTTTTTTTGAGAGGTTTTGCTATCGTGCACTCACCAGACAGACAGAGACAGACAGAAACCAAGACATCACCCCCAGGGGGGATGGTCATGCTGCAATCCCTTCTCCTCTATTCTCCTCTCGGGACCTTGGGCACGCACGCACGTGCACCTGGAGTGTTTTAAGCCGCCGGGTCTGGGACTTGAACTGCGGTCGATTACATGGGAGTCCAGCAACATAGCCATTATGCTAACTGCTGGTCCCTCACATGCTTTTCTTTATCTTGGGTCCCAAATGCATTTTGTATAAAACTCGTGCCGGGGCCTTACTCCTATTCTGTAATGGCTTACTGGTCTGCGATCTGGGCTGTCCACATGTGTGTCTAGTGGGTCAAAAGCTCCTAGAGGCCTGGGGCTGCAATCCCATAGTTCCTTTCGAAGGCACTTAGTTAAATGTCAGACATAAAGGGGGCTCCACGACCCTTCCTGATGAATGCACTCGGATTCCACAGTATAGCCCGTAATAGTACCTCCTGCGTCAACACCTGGCTCCTTACTGTCTATTTAAAAACACAAGGGGTGGGGCCAGCACCACATGGTGGTGAAGGCACTGGGCTCCTACACGGCCAACCGCAGTCTGAGTCTCGGACCTGGCAGCTCGCTTTCTCACTTTCTCTTTCTCTCTGGTGAGCACATGTGCTCTATAGAAAATTAAAATAATAATAATTCTGACATTCAGGTGTTCTCCCCCCCATTCCCTCCCCCCCACGGGAACTTTCTCACACTGTATCCTATACTTAATCTTTCTCAACCTCTCTCTCTCTCTCTCTCTTTTTTTTTTTTTTTGGCCACAAGGTGCATGCACCTGTAGGAGACAGACAGTGAGAGGGAAAATAAGAAATCACTCACTAGGAGGGATGGCCATGCCGCAGTCCCTTCTTCTCCATTTTCCTTCTGGGATTTTAACCACACACACACATACACACACACACATGTGCCCAGCATAATTTTTTAAAAATTATTTAATTTAATGTATTCATTCATTTATTTTAATTTGACCAGAGAGAGACAGAGAGAGAGGGAGAGAAAGCGGGAAAGCAAGCCACCAGGTCCAGGACTTGAACTGTAGTCAGCCATGTGGGAGTGTCCAGTGCCTTAACCACCATGTCACTTGCTAGTCCCTGCCCCAGCACAATTTTTAAGCTGCCAGGGACTTGGCCTAGGATTTGAACTATGGTCAGCCATCTGGAGTCTAGCACCTTAACCACCATGCCACCTGCTGACCCCAGTCCTTCTCAGTCTTAGGAATTCAATGAGTCTGTTTTCTCCAGTCTTCTGGAGACTATCAATAGTCTACCTTCAGGATAAACAAATACGACTAGCGAGATGCCAAAGACATCAATGGCAAGCTCCATTCCGATGCTACAAAGAGTCTTTTTATTAATCTTCAGATCCCAGCAAAATGCTACAGACTTTATTATACAACCATAAATACATGCAGCATGTTGCATTTACCCATCTATCTTACCTACCTAAACTGATCTTATTTCCACCCCTGCCCCCTGCAGCCATGCTGCAGAGTATGCACTGACTGAGAGAAGTGCATGTAAAGTCCACAGCATGGGCCACGGGGCTGCCGTGATCTGGCCCCTGGCTGCCTCTTGGAATTTACTTTTCCCCAATTTCCCCCTGCTAACACCACTCTAGTCACTCTGGTCACTTTGCTTTCCTAAGTACACAGAAGGCACCCCATCCTTCTGCCATCGACAGGTGGCTCCCTCCTTTCGCAGCATCCAAGTCTGCTCAAGTGGCACCTTGTCAGAGAGGACTAGCCACTGTCTTTCTCTCCCTGGGCCTTATCACCACTGGACAAACTGTACACAGTCATTCTTCAGTATCTGCAGGAAACTGTCTCCATGACCCTCACTATACCAGAAACAGATGGGCAAGTGCTCTGCAAGAAATGGCACAGTATTTGCATATAACCTACAACACACTCCTCACTTCAAGTCCGCTCTAGACAACTTACAAATAATTAAGCACCAGCTATAAATGAGATGAAAAATATACAGATAAACTTTTTTAAAAAAAGAATTATTTTATTTATTTATTAATTATTTTTTTCACATGAGTTTTGCCAGAGAACAAGAGAGAGAGAGAGGGGGGCATGAGCAAGAGCAAAACAGCAAGCCACCAGGTCTGGGACTTGTAGTCAGCCATGTGGGAATTCCAGTGTCCTAACTGCCACACCACCCACTGGCCCCCAGATAAACTTCTTTATTATCTCTTTTAGGGAGCTACCTTTTTCTCCATTTCATGGCAACTGGCATGGTCTGGTGGCACCTGCAGTTGGCTGAATCTGCAGATGCAGAAATCACAGATGCAGACACAGAGGGCTGACTTACGTACTTATCCTTCTGTTCTCTGTCCCTCCCACACACACATCACCAACTCCTCCTCAGATGGGACTTTGAGAGACCTGAGGCTTGACTGTCCTCACTCACTCTATCCCCACAGCCCATACAGCAGGCCTAGCAGGAGCTCAGGATAGGAATGCACAAACGAATGTGGAAGGGATGAACTGCTTAGGCTCGTGCAGTGTTGCTATGCCTCAGCCTCAGCGTTGGATGCCAGCCAGAGTGTACCATTGTCTCAGATGCGTGTCCCAAGAGCTGCTGCATGAAAATGAAAGAAGAGTAACAGCAGGGTGAGCAGCGGCTGAGTGACAGAACACTAGGCTGGAAAGGGGGCTCAAGACCATTACTTTACAGATGAGGAAACTGAGGTCCAGTGAGGAACAGCAGCTTGGACAAGGCCACTTGGGAAAAGAGAAGCAAAGCTCGACCTTCCCTAGCTAGGACTTCTATCTCCACGCCACGTAACTTCTCGATTGTTCTACGCAGACCTGGTCATTTACAAAATATGATCAATGATGAGGATTTAAAATATGTAAGGTGGAATTACATAACAGCAGGGCCTGAGTGCCACAGATCAAAAGCACTAGTTTCCCCCAAAACAGGCTAATGAAACAAGCCCTTCGGGATCCTGTGAGGCAACCAGTCCAGAGATCTGTCCGCCATTACAGCTAACCTCTTCTTGGCTTCCCTTTTCCAACACAGCAGCAGAACATGGTTTAATAAGCATTGAACACTTTGTTTTTGTTTCCTCTCACACAGGTGAACAGAGTTGAAGATATCTGTTCCAAATACAACTGCATTCATGCGTGACAGAAATCATGGAAAGAAAGACCTGACTGAAAGAAGGTGATAGCATTGTGATTGCAATTCAATGATCTTATTGAAAGAGTCCTTGCCACTTTTTAAAAAGTCCTCCTGTATTTGTGTCAATGTAACCGAAAACAGGAATTGTCAAAGCATTGGTGAATATCCAGGTTCTATTCTACTGTAATTCAAGTTGAGCAGATATCCTTCTTTTTTGTGCCTTAATTTAGGTATTTAAAAAATTTTTTAAAACATTTATTTGTTTATTTGTTGTCATTTTCAAGCCACCAGGTCTGGGACTTGAACTTTGGTCAGCTATGTGGGAATCTAGCACCTTAACCAGCTGGCCCTGCCAGATATCCTAAGTCCTATGTATTTCCTCAAAGATCAATGGTCATTTTATAGAAACTTTAGCACAGTTTTAGTGGGGCTACAGCTAGCACATGAAGTCCATTCTAAATACAGCTATAAAGAGTAAAGGTACTACACATGTACCCCCTCTCCCCTCCCTCTGCACCGTATCACACCATCCTCCACCTCACACGTTACGGTAATAGTGGAACGAGGTGGCTTTCTTCTTTTTAAACAAACAGAACTTACACATCCAAATGGATAGGGCTGGACCTTTTAAAGTATCAATAGTTACCTTTGGAAGTTAAAGCTCCATTCCAACAAGGGTACAGAATTTTTCTGGAATGTCTTTTAGAACGGAATTTCTCCAGATTTAGTGTGCATAAAGGCCACCTAGAAAGCTCAGTAACAGTGCAGATCTGCAAATCCAGACGTCCAGATTTAACCGGTCTTGGATGAGGTCAAGGAACATGCATTTCTTTTCTTTTCTTTCTTTCTTTTTTTTTTTTTTAATATTTTTGTTGTTAGAGGGCATGTACGCTCACTAGAGCGAGGCAGTGAGAGGGAAAGTGAGAAATCACCCCCAGGGGGATAGCCACATTCCCCTTCTCCTCTGTTCTCCTCTTGGGATTTTGGGCATGCACATACACACACCCAGCTGGTTTTCAAGCTGCAAGGTCCAAGACTCAAACCATGGCTGGCCATGTGGGAGTCCAGCGCCTTTATCATGAAGCCAAAACACTGCAGGTAGTCTTATACAAGATTGTGGGGAACAGTGTTTTGAGGTAACCTTGGAGTCAGTGCCCCAGCCATACAAAGACATCAAGAGGACTTCAGGGTCCAGCTCTGTGTGATGCATAGGGACGCACTGAAAGTTTACTTCTGTGTCCTTTCAAAGCCTTCACTGAACGTGTCAGCACAGATACATCAGACATGACTATTTGCAAACAATACATACCTCCATGAAAGAGATTCCTAAGCTCCACACATCAGAATGAATGCCATACTGCTCCCCTGAGATTCTTTCGGGCTGTAAGAAAACAGGAGAACCTCGTGAGGTGATGTCAGCTGCTCCACGAAACATATGCTGAACGCAAGGCCAGCTAGAGCAGAGGCCACCAACATCTGCACAGCATGCTATGGACAGCAAAACTGCTTTATGTGTATGTACGTGGATGTGTGTGCTGCTGTACAGATAATACACAGATTATGCGTGCGTGTGTGTGTGTACAGATCTCACTGAGTCTTCACAAGGACCCCGGATGAAGACTTTACCCTATTTCACAGAAGAAGAAAACAGAAGCTCAGAGTAATAATGTGATTTAGGCAAGACCTAAGGAGCTGAGACTTGAACCCATGTCTTCTCCCTCCAAATCCGGGGTCTTAGATGCAGAGTAACAAATGGCACACTATTATTCGACCTGCATTTTGACAGATAGGTCCGGAATGCCAGGGTCTCTTCCCATTTTTAAACGTATTTCAAACTTACGGGCAAGTTACAAGGATAGGACTAGTGCAAGCATACGCAGCGTTCCTTGACCAGAGTCACCGTCCAGCACTGTATTCCAGTGATAAGAGAAGCCAAGGCCTCCCCAGGTGGACTGGCTCAGGACACGAGCTAATCACAGCAGGCTGGGCTTCCCGTGCCCTGCTGGGACACAGCTCACACTGGCCCTGCGGGGGGCCACCTTGGTTCAGGAAGCCTTCCTCTGCTCTTCGGGGAGAATGACAGACTCCTGTCTCTATGGGTTATTAAAAAGAGTATTCATGGGGTCAGCAGGTGGCATGCTGCTTAAGATGCTAGACTCCCACACGGCCGACTACAGTTCAAGTCCTGGACTGGTGGCTTGAAAATCACACCAAGCACGTGTGCATTTGTGCTCCAAATCCCATAAGGAGAATGGAAGAGAAGGGACTGAGACATGGCCACCCCCTCTGGAGGGTGATTTCCCACTTTCCCTCTCTCTCCCTCTCTCTGGTTAGCACACTTGCCCTATGGCAAAAACCAAAAGAAAATGTTATTCATGTAACGTACAGTGTCATAATCATCTGTTGCTAGTCTGTTTCCACTAAGAGGCAGAGACAGTATATTATTTAACTCTACCTAGTACTCTGCCTGGCACATGTCGGTGTGCAGTCAGTGGACACTGACCTAAGAGATGCAGTATATGCTGACTGCACATTCGGTTGTGTTGTTTGGTGTGTGCTCACTGGAGAGAGACAGAGACAAAGAAAGAGAAAGCATCCCCCATGGGAAATGGTCACGCAGCAATCCTTTCTTTGTTTCTCTCTCCTTTTGGGATTTGGACATAAACTCCCAGAGTGTTTCCCAAGAAGCCAAGTCTGGGACTTGAACCACACAGTTGGCCACATGGGATCCAGCAGTCTTAACTGCCAGGTCACAGGCCAGCCCACACAGTTGTTTGTTTGTTTGTTTTTTAAAGAGAGATTTTTTTGCTATAAGGCGCCCACTGGAGGGACAGAGAGAGAGAGAGGGAAACAGAGAGACAGAAAGTGAGAAATCACCCTCTGGGGGTATGGCCACACCACAATCCCTACTCCTCCATCGTCCTCTCGGGATTTGGGGCACACACGGACATGTGCATGGAGTGTTTTAAGTCACTGGGTCTGGGACCTGAACTGCGGGCGACTATATGGGAGTCCAGCAACATAACTGTTACGCCATCTGCTGGTCCCCATAGTTGGTTTTAAAAAGCATGACCTAAAACGGAGTTCCTTCAAGTGCCCTAATATAACACCCCCATATATCATTGCTATTCATGTCTAATGAGAGCGTCCAGCAAAGGTGAAAAGAGTAAATCCCTCTGGAATTGTTAAAGAAACCAAACACTGCCTTCCTCTGTCCTGTCTTCCTCCCTGTCTCTTTTTCTTCACTCCATGGCAATGATATCAATAGTTAACAACATATAGAACATTCTCCAGAACATAGAAAATACACAGAGCAGGTGGCAAGGTGCTTGGGATGCTGGACTCCAACATGGCTGACCGCGGTTCAAGTCCTGGACCTGACAGCTTGCTTTCTCATTTTCCCTCTCTCTCTCTCTCTGGTGAACTCATGTGCCCTACAGCAAATTAAAAATAGTAATTATGATAATAAATAAAGATAAATATTTTTTTTAAAAATGACACACACACACACATACAAAGTGGAAACACAAAATACTCTGGCAGTACCAACGTTGAGATTAATACATTCATTAGAGTTGCCTGTTGAACTACTATCACAAACACGAACCGTCAGCAGAAAACAGAGCATAGCAAAATTATATTAAAACAAAGAGAAAAATGATACCGTTTCCAGATAACAGGTGGCAGATAAGAGAACTCCAAAAGGATGAGATTCTGATAACGTCTTGCTGGAGAAATCGTCTTGCGGGAAGTTAACAGAGCGAGGTTGTACTGGGACGTGGTGTCTGTGTAAGAGCACGCGGCAGAGGAGGTAGCAAGCTCCATGCATCTACAATATTCTCGAATTCCTGAGGCAGAGCAAGACTGGGAAGGTGCCCAGGCCCCAAACTGACATGGGCACAAGAGGAGCCCCACGCGCTCTGAGTCCGCATAATTCAGAGCTGTTCCCAGACTTGAGGCCAAGGGGGCCTGCCCTGTCCTCTCCCCTCAACAACAAAACAGAACGGACCCAGCCACCAGGTACTGCGCTGTGACAGAACGTTTGTGATGGACGTTTGGCAGTGAAACAACCAAACCTGAGGTCACTTTCTCACGTGGCAGCTGTCACCAGGGTCGAAAACTAAGTAATAGGAAAGTGAGACTCTCGGCTGAAGCGTCTCTGTCCTGGGGTTTCAGTGAAGAGTAAACAAAACAAAACAAACACTGGGCCCTGTTCTTAGTAAGGACAGTGCGGAGTGGTGACGGTGACTAAAAGGTGGGACTTAGAGAGGCTCTTGAGGGCCGTGTCTCAGCTGGCGCTGACGTCCGCTCCCTCCAGGACCCTCCGTGACTCGGTTTTCACCCAGCGGTCGGGCTGCACGACGCTGTTCTGCTCAACAGACGGCACGTATGACATGCGCCCATGTGAGTTTAGCAGGCCGTGCCGTGTGAGCCAAGTGTGAGCAGGCAATACCGTTAAGAACACACTATGATGTCTGCACAACAGCGAGATCACCTAACAGCACACTTCCCGGAACCAGCCCTGCTCTAGCGTATGACCGTAATTCCTCTGTGTACCACACGCTACCCCAGGCTCCCTTGTCAAATGCAGAAAGACACTAGACGAAGACATCTCTTCTCTCTTGGGCAAAGGGGTAGTTTCTGCTCAGAATTAGGCCACTCGGAAAATTAACAAGCAGGCATGAACACTGTACACTCGCATGCCACCAAAGTCTGCATCTTAAGGCCCAGCCTGGTGGCATAGACACAAGCAAACTGAAGTGCCTCACTGTAAGCCACCCGGCCAACCACGGATTTGGGTTCTCAGGTTGGCCTGAAGACATGCCTGTGTGTGTGTGTGTGTGTGTGTGTGTGTGTGCGCGCGCGCGTGCGCGCGCACGTGCA